GCCGGGCCCCCGCTTGCTGCCTCCGGGCCCCAGGCGCTCAGCAGCTGCCCGGGAAACGGTCCGTGGCCGAGCCTGGTGGGAGCTAGTGCGGGGCCGGTAGTTCGTTACCCTGCGCCTCCCCGGGCTCGCCGCCCTCCCGTCGGGTGTGCGGCCCTGGCTTGTCACAGCCCAGCCCGCCTCTCGGGTCACCCCCAGCGCGGTGCGGCGTGGGCGGAGTGAAAGTTATGCACCGGGTTTGCAGGGTTGGGTCCCATGGAAGAGACTTGCCCTGGCCGAACGTCTATGGGTACCGCTAAATGGCTTCTTCCTTTGGAAGAAGTGTGAGGAATTGCTAATGTTTAGTGCCCAGTTCTGCTCCCTGTACAGGTGCTGACTGTCGCTCCATCTCCAGCCCTCGCGACCTCCTGTGCTATTCAGATACCACTCTCAATCCAAAGTCACTCAGTCTGCGGGCAGAACTTCAGATGTTAATAGAGCAAAACTGAATTATAGCTTTAAAAAAATCGAGTTTTAAAAAAATGTTTGATTTAAATGAGAGGTGGTGGAAGACTCCAAATACTGAAATGTTAAAAGCAAGTTAATCAGCCCTAACGTTTCTCTCCATTATGCATGTAAACTTTCTTAGAATTGTGCAAGGATCCTTTTATTTATACAATTACTTCCACAGAAATCATGGAAGTTACTCAATCTTACTTTTTTTACTTTAACATTTTGCTAGTATAACTAAATCTTGCCACGGTAAAAGAGTGCAATATATTGTTCTGCTGTTCAGTATTCCAAACTATATGAGCAGGTCAGGCAAAACCTATTTTGCATGCCACTTTCTAATTAAATTGTTATGGGTAAATTAAAAACTGCAATCTCCTCTGCAACTTCATTAAGGCAACCTGATGTTTTGTTTTAGAAGTTTAACTCCTGAAGTCATTTGAACATACTTGAGATCCTAAACTAGTCAGGCTTGCTATTTAACCAGTCAAGGAAAGCTCTAATTTCTGCTTTGTCAAGGATCCTTAGTTTAAGTGAAAGTCAGGGACAGGTCACATGTTTCTGTGTATTTTTATTACCTATGGGTATGTCTGCACTACAGAGTTATTTTGAAATATCTAATTTCAAAAGTTATTTCCAAGGGCTTGACAAACAATGTAAACAATGCCTGTGGCGAGTAGATTACACCCTGGAAGAGCCGGCGCAGAGCGATCTACGCATGCGCAGAGCGCAGAACCGCGCGGCTGGCGAGCAGGGTTCGCCGCCACTCAGCAAGACCTGGTTATTTCGAAATATCTAATTTCAAAATAACGCATCTACACACAAAATGCATTTCGAAGTAGCTTTTTGCTATTTCGAAATAGCATGTCCACACTGATTGGACACTGAATCTCATTTAAGGCCATCCAGACCTGGTTCCAGCAGGGCATCAGGTCAGAAGTTACCTTGTGGCCTGGGCGGCCAGCAAGGCACCCTGGGAAGGGCTGGAGGCCCCCTATTTTGAAATAAGCATTTACACAGCACTTATTTCAAAATAAGCCCTCTGCTATTTCAAATTAATTTTGAAATAGCAGTTGGCTTGTGTAGACGCTAGGAAAATTATTTTGAAATAACAGCTGTTATTTCAAAATAACTTTGCTGTGTAGACATACCCTCTGACTTCTCTGGAACATCTACTAAAAACATCCTTGACACAAACTTAGCCTTAATTATAGGCTGATTAGAGTCTCCTGGCACTACTAGTATGCAGCCTTTTTTATCAGAAAAAAATGATTTTCAAGTTGAGTATTTTGAGCACTTGATTTCACAAGTCATGCAACTATAGCACCATCTACTGATTGGTCTTCTCTGTTGCATCTAAATCTTTAATTCCTATCTAGGGAGAGTAATAGAAATGTAGCCGTGTTAGTCTGGTGTAGCTGAAGCAAAATGCAGGACTATGTAGCACTTTAAAGACTAACAAGATGGAAAGTGCTACGTAGTCCTGCATTTTGCTTCGATCTAGGGAAGGTTAACTGATGAGCCTCTCTGTTACATGCAGTTCATTCCCTTGCTGCCTCTGTATCGGGGCATTGGGGATGGGGGCAGAAGCTAGTGCTTGCTGGGAGCTGGTTTAAAAGCTGGCTCCTCCCCACTGCCTACCCTCCCTCCTCTGCTGTTGCCTTTGGTACAGAGGTATCAGTGTGGAGGAGGGAACACAGGCAGGAGCTGGTACAGTTAGAGATGAGGGGGAAGCTGGCTTTCAAGGTTTATTGGTTAATCTTGTTGGCTACACACATTTCCCCTCCCCCCCCAGCTGCTTCTGTATCAGGGGGAGCTGGTGCTGGGGGGAGCCAGCTTAAAAGCCAGTCCCCACCCCAGCATTGGCTCTGCAGTGCTGCCTCCCGTCCCCCTGTTGCTGCCACCTATGTCAGAGGCAGCAGTGCTGAGGGGGTGGCAGAGAGCCTGCTGCAAAGCAGCTTCTGTCTGTGGCCGGCCTGAGCTCAGACCCCCCCATGGACGAGGGTTGCTGCCATCCTGCACTGCTGCTTCTGTATCATAGGCGGCAAGCAGCTGATCAGCACAGAGGGCTGGTTTTTAAACTGGCTCCCCTGGCAGACCATCTTCCACCTGCCACCTCTGATAGACAGCAGTGTGCGGTGGTAGGGGGCTCACCATGAGTGGGGCTGGAGGCACACTGGCTGCTGGCCCTGCCCCGGTGACTATCATTAGTCATGTAACCACTAAGATTGCGTGCGGTTACACGACTATTCAGTTATCCAATATTTAACATTCCTAGTGGCCATTAGGGTGCAGGACACAATAAAAGATGATTGTATAGTGACTGTGGAAGGGTGAATGAGAATTTTATTTAAAGGAGCACTTTTCCTTGAAAAGATGTTTGTGCACATTTTAGGAGTAAGAAGTCTTCATAACGAAATACACCTACTTTTATTTTAGTAACCTTTTTCCAAGCATCATATAACTTGCCCAACTATTGTTTATCTCCTCGTACTTGTTGCATCATGTCTGCTGTTGGATTTTGAACACATCCAGGACTATACATGCTTTAGCTGGCCTAGAATGCTGTGGCCATTTTGAATAAATAATACTTATATTTTAGCAAACTTTCAAAGTAGTCCGTAAAAGCAGTTAGATTTGTATCACCTTCACCTGTTGTGATTTTTAAAAAAGTATTCCAAATGTACTGGAAGCATATTTTAGTCTTATGAGAATATATACACTTCTGTACAGGCAGTCCCCGACTTACGCGGATCCGACTTATGTCGGATCCGCACTTACGAACAGGGCTTTCTCGTCTCGGAGCTCACAGGCAGTGGTCAGCCACCTCGAACTCTGGGGCGAGAAAAGCTGCTCCCGGTGCCCCTGGTCTGCTGGGGACCGTCTCCAGCAGACCAGGGACACCTGGAGCAAAGCCGGGAGGCGGAGGGGTCCTGTGCCTCTGAGGCTTTGCCAGAGCAAAGCCTCAGAAGCGCGGGACCCCGCCGCTGTTGCGGGTTTGCTCGCGGTGCCCCGGTCTGCTGGAGACGGTCCCCAGCAGACCAGGAGCACCGGGAGCAAAGCGGTCCCGTGCCAGAGCAAAGCCTCAGAGGCGAGGCACCCCCCCACTGCCGCTTTGCTCCCTGTGTCCCTGGTCTGCTGGGGGGGGCGCAGCTAGTGTGCCCACCCCCCCCAGCAGACCAGGCTTTTGGTGTGGACCC